AGAATACTCCCGAGAATATTTCTGCGAAAAAGAAAACTTAAGTTTCTTAAGAGCGGCGCCATATAGGGTACAACTTTCGTCAATACACGTTTTGGCGCCCAGAGTTTTAGAGCGACTAATTTGGCACTTGGCATCCGTTAATCGAGCGTCCTGCATAGCGAATAAGGGGGTACTACTATATTCAGCGGTAAAACTACAAAAGGCTTTTAAAAATAACTTTGTAACGCGAGGAAATCCTTCTATACAGTTTCGTCACCTTGCCAAAGATGAAAAAATAACTTTTTGAATATGAGGAGCCTACTGTAGAGTTTCGTCACTTTGCGAATGATGCAATAAGCTTCTACTATTAGATAATCCAGTCAGAAATTGAGATCGAGCATCTAATAATAGACCATTAGTAACGCTAGCATATTGCATCAGTCACACTGATGTTTAAAACATGTCAAATACTTTTTTACGTGTTAAAGAAAAATGCCTGTTCATTTGTGGCACTTTAGCGAATGATGAAATCTGCATCATTATTAACAGGATTCTATTTGGCACTATGGCGCCTATTACTTTTAAGAAGCCAGGGGTCGTAGGCCGCGCCTATGCGGTAGTGTAATCGGGGGGTGGGGGCCCTGAGAGCGCCCCTGTAGGCTACGTCTCTGACACATTGGCGGTCACCGAAGTGTGTTCTACCATATTATTTCGGTGAGTGATTAATGTACACTCTATGTTTACATGTGGTAGTGTAGGTAAACCTGTGTCCCGATATTTATGATTTAAGCGCAGGCATTGTTTACATTTAAATAACTCACTTTTAGAAAAGACGGTCACGCGTCTAAGAACATATGATTGGTAACGCGTTGGTGAAATCTTTCTAATACATTTCGTCATACTTTCTTCTATCCCCGCGGCAACGCGCGGGGGACGGGTACACTAGTATATATATAAAGCAATGTATGTGTGTCTGTTTGTCCTTTATGCATTACTACACCTCTCATCACATCACCGTGAAACTTTGTGAAGTTGTTGAAAATATTCCTGGGGAGGTTTCTCCGAATAAAAAAAATTTCAAATTCGCAGGGGTGGCGCCCCGGCAGGGCACGATTTGTTTTTCTCTATATACGGTATTTAAAAATCGATTTTTTTTATTTTGACACCATTCATCTGATCGCTATCAATTTGGTGTGTTTATTAGAACACTTTAAAGAAGGGTTCTGTAAAAAAAATCAATTTTAATTTCACAAGGGCGGCGCCACGGGAGGGTGCGATTTTTCTGTGTATACCGTATATAAAAATAATAAAAGTGAATTGCCGTGACACCTTTCACACGATCGCCATGAAACTTTGTTGAGAATACTCCTGGGGAGGTTTCTGCGCTAAAAACATTTTCAAATTTACAGGGGTGGCGCCCCGGCAGGGCGCGATTTGTTTTTTTCTCTATATACGGTTTATTAAAATAAAAGTCTATTTCGGTTTCACACCGTTCATCCGTGTACCATGAAACGTTGGGGAGATGATTAGATCACTCAATGGTAGGGTTCTGCAAAAAAAAATAATATTTTTTTAATATAGCAAGGGCGGTGCCCCCGGGGGAGTGATTTTTTTCTTTATACAAGGTATATAAAAAATAAAACTCGGATGCGGTTCATCGGAGTGCCAACAAACTTTAAGGAGTAGATGAGAATACTCCCGAGAATATTTCTGCGAAAAAGAAAAATAAAGTTTCTTATGGGCGGCGCCATGTAGGGTACAATTTTCGTCAATACACGGTTTGTCTTCCAGAGTTTTAGAGCGACTATGTTGGCACTTGGCATCCGTTAATCGAGCGTCCTGCATAGGGAGTAAGGGGTACTACTATATTCAGCGGTAAAACAACAACAGGCTTCTAAAAAATAACTTTGTAACGCGAGGAAATCCTTTACAGTTTTGTCACCTTGCCAAAGATGAAAAAATAACTTTTTGAATATGTGGAGCCTACTGTAGAGTTTCGTCACTTTGCGAATGATGCAATAAGCATCTATTATTAGACAATCCAGTCAGAAATTGAGATCGAGCATCTAATAATAGACCATTAGTAACGCTGGCATATTGCATCAGTCACACTGATATTTAAAACACGTCAAATAATTTTTTTTCGTGTTAAAGAAAAAAATCCTGTTCATTTGTGTCACTTTAGCGAATGACGAAATCCGCATCATTATTAACAGGATGCTATTTGGCCGATGGCGCCTGTTAGTTTTAAGGAGCCAGGGGTCGTACGCCGCGCCTATGCGGTAGTGTAATCGGGGGGTGGGGGCCCTGAGAGCGCCCCTCTACGTCCCTGACACATGGGTGGTCACCGAAGTGTGTTCTACCTCATTATTTCGGTGAGTGATTAATGTACACTCAAGGTTTTCATTCGGTAGTGTAGGAAAACCCGTGTCCCGATAATTATTATTCAAGCGCAAGCATTGTTTACATTTGAATAACACAGTTTTAGAAAACAAGGTCCCACGTCTAAGAATATAGGATT